AAAACTGTTATTTTAACGGATCATGAAACGTGATTTTCCAAACACCCTCTTTAACTACTAATATCGTACTATTTTTTATTTTTTGCCAAAGTGATATCATATCGCATAATTGTACGTCGAAATGCACATTCTGAATTGTGTAAATTTACCTTAGCAAATAGCAATTACCTTCAGACTGGAAAATATATTTAATTATAACAATACCCATGTACACTAGTGGAAGCAATCAATAATAGCTCTTAGAAGATATGGCGTATAGAGAGAAAACTTCAGCCATACTCTTTGAAATGAGCAAAGTCTTCATGGGCTCATACATAGACCTGTCAATGGGTCGGGTCCGGACGGCGGTTCCGGTCAGGAATTCCTGACCGGAAGAGTACTCTCTCTCTCTCTCTCTCTCTCTCTCTCTCTCTCTCTCTCTCTCTCTCTCTCTCTCTCTCTCTCTCTATATATATATATATATATATATATATATATATATATATATATATATATATATATATATATATATAGAACAAATATTGAGGTCCGGCCAGGCCTGACCACTCCCCCCGTCCGGCCTCCTCCATTTGGGGGCCTTCCCGATGGTATTTTTTGCTCAAATTTTTTGTGTAGGTTCCTAATCAAGTCTAGTTTGTCTATACCAAATTTCAGCCAAAAATTCAATCGGAAAGGTCGTCAAATGATTTTTGCAGGTTAACTGGTCTGGAATATGTATTTTCCGGACCAGTTAACTTGCAAAAATCATTTGACGACCTTCCCGATTGAATTTTTGGCTGAAATTTGGTATGGATGAACTAGACTTGATGAGGAACCTACAAAAACAATTTGAGCAAAAAATACCACCGGGAAGGCCCCCAAATGGAGGAGGCCGGACGGGGCTCCGGTCAGGTATACCTGACCGGAAGACTTCTCTCTCTCTATATATATAATGGCTAGTTTTTAGGTTCATTGTGGTGCTTTGGGCTAGTAGGAGAAGTTTTATTTTTTAATTTAGTTTCACTTTGACTTGATATGTTATATGAGGTTTCTTGTGCATGGATATATAGGATGATTGTTCTTTTATAGAAATTAGGTAGTTCGATATTCTTATAATAAATAAGTACAAAAATATAAAATTACAATTTTTTTTGTATTGAAATAGTTACCCTTGGATGTAACATACTAGTTCAATTAATTAGATACTCAACACAAGGGAGCGGTTCCAATAAGAACGGACTTCCAGGAGAGAAATGAGAATGAATCTGGACCGTTGGACATAAATATTTGTTTTCCGAACGGTTAATAAAATAAAATTAAATCACGCCTTGAATTGTTTAATAATAAAAAGTACCGTTAGAGTTTGATGAATCAATCACTTTTTTGCTAAAGAGGTCTATTTAACAATTTTTCATATAACATTACCTCGGTTTTTGTATAAAATATATTTTAAATGCAAGTTTTTCAATTCATAATTTATCAGATTCAAGAAATTCAGTCGATCCAATCAAAATTTTATTAACTTCACTACGTTCAACCAATTTTAGTGTTAAAAATGCAGTTCAATATAAAAAATGTGACGTGGTTCAAATTTCATCTCCTTTGCTTTATTAATCTGCCCCCGTACCTTATTTTCCTGGATCCGCCACTGGTCCTAGTTAGAGAATTATATCTCTTTCTATATGTCGCCGCACTGTTGCAATATACTGAGATAGTACTATACTCTCACTGTTTCTGGGTGATGATCCACTTTGTTCTTTATAAGTTTTTATTACGTACTACCGTATGTTATTATTGGTTCTCGCTATCTCTAAAAACCTCACTTTTGACCAATTTTAAGGGAGTGAGCTTAGCTTGTTTGGTAACACCCTACATACGTAGTAGTGTAGTACTACATACGGAGTACTAGATATGAGAGAATCATGCACGATGCTTGATGTATGCAAAAAGAGATAATTACCTATATAGGACTAAAAATAAGAATTATGCACAAATAGGACTTAAGTTTCCCGTGAAGTTTAGTAGGAGTAAAAAAGGGGTGACTTGACATAAATGCCCTTAATGAAATATCAAGCATAATTGTTTATTAATCTTTTAAATCAAAATATAAAAAAGAAACAGTACAACAGATAATCAACGACACAACCCTAGGGCCAATGAACACCTTCTCTGCCGCCACCATGTCATCCGACGCTGCCGCTTCATCCGCTGCCGCCGGTGGCTCTACCACCTGTCGCCGCCGCCCATTTCAGATGTCGTCACCACCAGGCGTTGCCGCCACAACGCGCCTTCATCACCACCAGGCACTGCCACCACAAGGCTCCTCCGTCACCATCTCCACAGCTCCCTTCAAACTCTACCACCACCTTGGTTCCTGCGGTGATTTGAAATTTGGAAGGAGTGTCTTAAATGTCTATTTCAATGGAACTTTTACATTAAAATAAAGTATATGAATTTTATTGTCATCTTCAGATTTTCATGGCATTATAAATGTTGTAATTGTAATGGGAATAGTATTTCCATCATAACAGATTTAATGCCATATGAATGGAACTATATGTGAAAATAATACATTTTATATAAGCAAAAACATGGCATTAGTAGCCATATTGATGGAATTAATGTTATAAAAATGACATTAAATGTCAAAAATAATATTGTGAAAGTAATATATTTTATATAAGCAAAAACATGGAATTAGTAGCCATATTGATGGAATTAATGTTATAAAAATGGCATTAAATGTCAAAAATAATATTGTTAAGAGAAAAATAGAAAAATATGGCATTAATAGTATTGTTTTTCCAAAAAAGTAATATGTTCATTTTAATGCCATAAAAAGTAGCAGTTATGGAATCTTAAATTTAAATCAAAAAATTAATTTGAAGGGTTACAAAATTTTAATTGACATGATCGAATGACAAAATATTTTCTAATTATAAAATATAACAAAAAGTTAAAAGAACAAAAGCTGAAAGAAAAAATCAAAGTAAAAAAGAAGAAAAAGCAAGAGAAAAATCTTGATAAGTTCAATTCGGATCCGAAAGGGAAAAAAAGTAAACATAACCAAAAATCAATCTAAAAGTTTTTCATAATTATGCCATGATTGTATAGAACCTTCACATTGTAAAAAAAAAAAAGGAAATAGAGGCTCTGCCTCAGATTGAAGGAAACGAAGGGATAGGGGAAGAAAAGAAGAAGAAAAAGGAGAAGAAGGAGGAGAAGGAGGAGGAGGAGGCCGGAGGAGATCAAAATTTACTTACCTCAATCGTCGTCGTCGTCCGCCAATGGCCGGAGTTGAGGAGAAAAAATCCTAGTCCAAACCTTTATTATGTGCTGGAGATGGAGAAATCAAAGAGACCTGGAGATTGAGAAATCGAATAGATCTGGAGATGGATGAGTGATGGAGGAGAAAAGCTAGAGAAGAGATCTGGAGATGGATGAGTGATGGAGGAAAAAAGGCAGAGGAGGGAAAGGAAACGTGAGAGGAAATAGAAAGAGGCGTGCGATTGAAATGCGTACAGGCTGAAAGGTAGTCTGACAAAAGCAAATAATTGAAGTTGAAGCTAGCTGTAAAGTGGGGTATTATGGGAATTAGTTAGAGCCGGTCAATTAAAAACTCTTATTTGAGGAATAAATCAACAAGGAGTCCTATTTTGGAACTTTTTTATTGTTTTGGTCCTATTTAGATCAATTACTTATGCAAAAATTATTTTAAGAATATGTTTTATTAATAAACTATAAAAAAACTACATAAAAACATATAGTTAAAATAGTCTAGCTTGTTCAACGTGCCAATTAAGCCAACTTTGCCAAAAAAGTAAACCCACCAAGACTTATTTATTATTCTCTCCGTTCTAGAAAGATTCGCCAAATTGACTTTTCTTGATCAATGACAATCAACTTTGACCAACGATATCTCTTAATGTGAAATTATTCTGAATATGAAAATTATATCAAAATGTTCTTTATTCAAAATATTTTCATAAAAGTATAAAATACATAAACTACATACAAATATAGCAACTAAAATCATTGTCCAAAGTTTACCAACATTGATCAAGAAAAGTCAATTTGGCGAATCTTTTCGGGACGGAGGGAATACTAGTTTGAGTTTTTAGTCCTCAGATTATTATGTAATGACACTAGCTTTGATACTCAAATTTGAAATTTTCAACTTTTAGTCATTGGAAAACAAACTTTTATATCCATCTTTGAAATTTTTCATATTTAGTCATTCGACTTTCATAAAATTAAAGTGATACCATTGGTCCTTCAATTATTAATTATCATAGTGACATTTTAATTTTACTTCTCCACTTATTAAACATTCTCAGATTATTTTTAAAATATTTAATAATCTCTAACATCTAATTAGAAATGGAAGAGGAAAATTGAACCGCAACCGAAATTGTAGTACATTCGTACGAGTTGTCACCGTTTTATATGTAATTTATACTTCGTAGTTGATTGTCAATTAGTGTGTTTTATATATATAACATATTTTTTTTTCAAAAATATTACTTGGATGAAACTTATTTATAAAATTATGATTAATGGTTATTACCATATATAGCATAATCTCATAGTAACTTAAGTGTAAAATTTGAACCTATGTTACTATAACTAAGTTAGGTTATGTATAGTCGTGCCTAAGGAGATTTCTGTCAAAGTAACATATTATTTTTAGTATGTAAACTTTGTTGTTGTCCCACATTGGGTATTTCGTAAACAATTAAACGCTATATTAAGATCTGAATTCCTCCTCCTATTAGATTGACATTTTAGGATGAAATCTCGTGTCTGAACATACTTATACATTTAGTTAGCTTTTTATTTGGACTTATCTTAGTCTCAGGCGAGATCAAATCAGACTTCAATAGACAATACACTTACTATACACTTGATTCCTTCCGTCTGCTTCTGTCATACATACCTCAGCCCTCGCGTATATAAGCATGTTGACGATCTTTGCTTGTGTGCTTCTTTTAAGTCTTTAATTTGTTTTGTGGAAAGGGTAGCGGTAATATTCATTAGTAGTATACTGCGTGATTGACACGGTACCGCGATATGAACAAGCTAGCGACGCGGTGCATATATATGGAATCGATGGATTAAACTCATAACGTAGCCGGCCTAGTGCATAATACTCCGATCCTATTAATATATACTCCTGAACGTAGAGATCGAAGAAGTTAAGCTAATTAAGATATGGCGCTGCAGGGTGATGGAGTTATGGCGGCGGCGTCATCCAGATTATCGCTTCTTTTGGTTGCGGCCGCCATGGGTGCGATTATAAGGTGCAGCTGGGCGGACAACCTGACCGACCCTGACCACAATATAATGAATGAGCTGAAAAGTGGTCTCATATTTAGACCTAATTCGTCGGTCTACAGCGTATTGAGTGGACCCGGACCGTGCCCCTGGGGACGGGACCCTATTAATATGTGCAACAAAGTTGATGATGAGGGAACTCTCCGGGTTACACGCGTCAACATCTCGTCTCAGGCTGCCGGCGGGACGCTGCCGCTCAATCTTAAAAACCTGACCAAGTTGGAGCTCTTCGATGCGTCGAACAACAACCTCACAGGGGCAATTCCCAAATTTGCCGACTCGCTTATCTTTCTTTCTCTTCACACTAACAACCTTTCTGGAGAAATACCCGACTTATCTCATCTCAACCAATTGACGCATCTCGATATTTCTAATAACCAGCTTACTAACGGTGTCCCGCCATCCATTGAAGCTTTGATCAATCTTAAATATCTGAATCTTTCTAATAATAAGCTTACCGGCTCTATCCCTCACAGGCTCACACGTTTGACCGCACTAGAGACACTAGATCTGTCTAATAATCGGCTTAGTGGCCTTGTCCCTCAATTTAATTACTCTCTTGGGGAAGTGATTACATGTGGGAATCTCCTTTTATCAGGTGAAATGGGGAAGCCATGTTAGGGGTGAGTGGAAGATGATGAAGTTACAATAATGATGGATGGTGTTTGTTTTTAGGGTTTCTTAGCTTCATCACTTTTGTTCGTTCCATCTTATATCTTTTTTAACGTACTTATATCTGTTTTAAATAAAGATGTTGGCCTGTTTAACGTACTTGTATCGTGAAGAGGTATTACATGTTAGGTAAATTCTATGATACCCATAAGGTATTATACATTTATCCACATGGATCAATGAGAATGTAGCAGTTGAATTATTTAAATCTAAATTAAAAATGATAAAGTGATGTGGTCCAATCAAATGAATAATAGGTACGGTATCCCATATTTTAGAAAGGTACCGGTGTTGTCCTATATGTTATTGTGCTTTTAATGTAACATCGGTTGGGCGCCTTTCTATGTCATTTATGGATTTAAGCTCTCTGATTTCTTGTTTCTTGATATCTCTTTCAGTGGCGGATCCAGGAAACTGAAGTGTTGGGGGCAGAACAAAGAGAGAAAATGTAAAGAGATCTAATATAGTTTTATTTATGACGGTTCCAGATAGATCTTTTTCCAATGTTGAAGATGGTGTTTTTTCTCAAAAAAACTGTCCATAACATCTGATAAAATAATTTAATTAGCTTATGGGAAATTACTTTAAATAGGGCTAAAACTGTTTGTATATTTCAAAATATGACTATCATGTTTTTATTTCAAAATAGGAGTAATTAATGTCATTTTTTGGCAGTAGCAGACTTTAAACATGACAATGTTTTCCAAACTTGACGGTAATTGTCCTATTTAGAGAATAAAAAGTTGACAGTCCTATTTTGGAATTTCCAAATGATTTTAGTCCTATTTCGGGAATTTTCCCTTAAGTTTTTGATAACTAATGTTCTCTTTTGTCTCTTTATCAAGTGAATATTGATGAACTTTCAATAATGTGTCCTTCTACTAATTGTAATAGTTTACCACAAATACACAATAACACGAGAAAACCCTAAAAAGGCTAAATAGGATGAAAACAATGATAAAATTCACAAATAAGACTATCATTATTGTATCCCAAAATATGACTCATTCAGTTCTGTTTTAGAAAGCTTTAATCAAATTATTATTTTAATAGAACTAAATATGTGTTATTTGGGGACTAAAACACTCTTAATCTCATTTTTACACTTTGTTTATGTTTTGGTTTTATATTAAGCAATTTCTATAACACTTTAACACATCCGTAGTAAAAATTATACAAAAAAATCAATAATCAATAATCAAATGCTTAAATTAATTACTCAACTACTACGTAGTTATTTAGTTAATACTCCGCACTTAGAACGCGTGAGTAACCTGCACTATTGCATTGCCGAGGAGCTGAAGTACAATTTAGAATGCGAGTTAATACTCATATTAATGCACGATTTAGAATTCCCTGTTTTAGCTGTTAACGAAAGTTGAAGTCCCTCAAAAAAAGTCTACGGAGTAATTTTATAGGGGATTAGATACATGGGGGCTGGGGGCATTTAGTTATTTTTATTGGGGGCAATTAAGTGGGCTAAATTTTTTCCTAATATAATATATGGAGTTATGGACAGTTTATTGGGGGCAGCTGCCCCCCTTATCAATAGTGTGCATCCGCCCCTGATCTCTTTCTATATGCTCCCGCACACATGCAATATACTCAGATGCTCTCACTGTTTTTAAGTGATCCACTTTTTTCTTGATAAGTTTTTTATTATTATCTTTGTCCCAAATTGATTTGCAAAGTCAATATTTTTTGTCAACCAATGTTAAATTTAAATTATTCCTATTGATAATTAGTTGAATTTTTAATAATTAATTTTTTTTGTTCAGAAACTATATCAAAATCTCTTCAAAGTTGCTAACTACAAATTAGAATATAACTGGTGTACTGTAAAGCCCGAGGCATGCCCCTGTGATGAGTCAATTTGATATGGATTAAAATGAAGAGTATTAATACAGATATTATGAATCATTCATAAGATCCGATGTTGAATATATTTAATTTTTAATTACTATGTACTACTCAAAATCAATTACTCCGTATAATATTATATTTGTTAAATGATTATTAAATTATGCATCATCATATACTATATATTTACACTTTAGCTCATACCAAGGATTTGAATTACAGTGACAATCATTGTGGTTGCGGCTATTATTGCAGCCGTTGTGACGCGTTTTGCAGTTGATGTGGTGTGAATTATTTTAACGTTTGAACAAATAAGAAAATATATCAGTGTTGCGGTTTCGATGAGTCCCGTTAGGGAATTTTCCCGTGATTTTGGAATCACACCACCATTGTGGCCCGATGCGGTTGCGTTGTGTACAGCAATCACAAAATTGCTACCACAACACGTGTTGCGATCCGAAATTGAAACCATTTTCCATGTTTGTTTCCCATCACATTTTCTTACTCCCTCCATCCCATTTTGTATGACACACTTTACTTTTTGTGTACCAAAAAAATATAAAAACTTTCTTAAATTACTACTGAGTTGTTTATTTCTCACTTTGTTCTAAATCTAAAATATAGAACTTGATCAAATAAAATAATAAACATAAGAAACCGAATCAAATTGAACTAAATTGAATCTAGTAATTTTCATTTTGGTAAACTGAGCTTCAAACCGGGCTGAACCGAAACCAAACCGAAACACAAATGGTTTTCATTTGGTACAAATTCTCCCAAATCGAATAAACCAAAACCGAAGAAAACCAAACCGTAAACCGAAATGTCCACCCCTAGTTGATCCTATTTCGAAAAGAAACTATTTTTTAGTCCTATTAAGATAAATGTACCTAATTAAATACTCTTTACAAGAACTAATAAGCAAATAACAATTTTATATAAATGTGTGTGCTCATATTATTATAACGGTGATTTGTAAGATTTTTTAAAAACTAGGAACCGGTTAATGACAAGAACCGAACCGTTAAGAATGGTTCAATTCCATATCGATTTCATAAAAAATTACTACGTAGAAGAACTGGACTGTTATTAAGAGTTGATATTTTTCAAACGATTCCATCTATTTTACTTAGGAACCGAACAGGTCTCGAGCCTATGGAGTACGGACCACGGGACCAACATTTATTCGAAGAACATCATTTATTTTAGGGTGTTGCTTCGCGCACCACCAAAAGTGCCGAAGGTAACCCTCATGAGACATACTACGTATTTGCCCTTCTTATTTTTATACTCCGTATACTACTTCGTGTGGCATTGAACGCTGTGATTGTAATGCTTCGACTTTTGATTGTTATGTTTCTGATTACCCTTATCAATAATAATTAAGTTATTTGATTTAAAAAAAATACTACTTGGGGTGCGCCCAGCAGGGCCGTTTTTTTATGGAATACTACGCGATTTAGGGTCATTCTTTGAATAACTTCCGAGAGCTGGAGAGACCGTAAAATATATGGTACACCCGGCTGTACCTTCCTCTTGGTACAGCCAGGTAATTTTGTAATAAAATGCAACTATTATCCTCTTCCGCGGGCACCTCTTCGCTCCATCCTCTTTTTCTTACGCAGACATGCATCCTCCATCTTTTCTTTTTTCTTTCTTTTCTTCCGCCGCATCTATCCTCTTTCACTCCATCTTTTCTTCTGTCATCCATTCATTGTCACTTCGTACCTTTTAGTTGTCTTTTCTATTTTCAATTTTTTATATACTTTTACTGCTAGCTACTCTATATCTGGTTTTACTTTATTGATTGTTACCTTCTTTCTTTTTACTTCTTTCTTTTTACTTCTTTTGATTTGTCTTTTTTCTTCTTCTTTTCGTTTCTTTATTGATTGTTTACTTCTTTCTTTTTACTTCATTTGATTTGTCTTTTTTTTCTTCTTCTTTTCGTTTCTTTATTTATTGTTTACTTATTTCTTTTTCTTTATATATATATATATATATATTATATTAAGCACATTAGAAATGAGTTTTACTTTAAACTCAAATGAGTAAAACGCTTAAAAATGAACATGCACTGATGAGTTTTTGAATTTTTCAATACTCATTTTGTAAATTATGTATGTTCATTTAGTATCTCTGTTATGTTCATTTTTAAAATGTTTTAGCAATGCACATTTCAAAAGTCTCATATTACATTAGATTTATATAAGAGTTGATTATAGACACGAGACCACAAATCATTATACTCAATCGCAGATTCTAATACTCAATAACGGGGATTTAATGCTCACAAAAAATGTCTTGTTGCACAACGAATAAATATTACAATTTCATATAAGTACTCATCTTGCAAGTTACACATGCTCATTTGTATAGGTCTAATGCTCATTAATAGTTCATTAATGCTCATTTAATAGAAATCATGATTTTCATCGATCTCAATAGAGAAGTTTTGATGCTGAATGAAAATGTTGTGATGTTTAACCAATAAAGCAACTAACAAATTCATTAATACTCATGTTGAAAGTTACATATGCTCATCTGATACTCATTTTATGATCATTTTCTAAATGTCATATCAATGCACTTTTTAAAAGTATTATTTATGATAGACTCCTAATACTCAACATAATAGGTTTGATGCTCATTAAAAGTTCATTATTGCTCATTCACAAGATACTATGATTTTCATCTCACTAGCAGATGTTTGATGCTCAATTAAAATGTCGTGATATTTAACTAACAAACCTTACGATAAAAAATAACAAAAAGAAAGTGAATTAGAAGTTTGTAAAGCAGAGATCACGATTCTGAATATTAGACTCCTAATACTCAATAGAATAGTTAGGGTGCTCATTAAAAGTTCACTATTACTCATTCTCCAGAAGTCGTGATTTTCATCTCAATAGTTGAGCTTTGATGCTCATTTAAAATGTCATGATGTTCAACTAACAAACCTTACTATTTTCATATCAACGTGCACTTTGTTAGTTATTTATGCTAATTTGATACTAATGTTATGCTCATTTTTAAAATTTCATATCAATGCATATTTCAAAAGTATCATATTACATTAGACTCGCATATTGAAATTAATAGGAGTGAATTTTAGATATATAATTTAATACGGAGTAAGTTTTTATAGTAGAAAAAATAGAAGATATGAAGCAGAGATCGTGATACTCATTATTAGCCTTATAATACTCAATACAATATGTGAGATGCTCAACAAAACTACAATATTGCTCATTTAGCGGGAGCCATTATTTTTCGGTTAAATTACAAAACTGCCACCGAAAAAAATAGGCTGTTTTAACTAAATGGACTGTCTTTCTTCTAATTGGGCCTTTTTATGGGCCTTCCGTGAGATTCATTTAATTCTAATCAAACTGGATTATTAAAATGGACTGAAGCTTAAAAAATTTAAAAAAAAAAACGGGATGTACGGTTCTCACCCGTACATCCGGGTGTACGATATACGTACTCCTGGAGAGACATCCGAGAATAGTTCGTAAGTACTTCTCGTTCTTCTTTCATATCATCTCATAGACCTGTTTGTTTTCTGCATTTATTCAATCTTATTCATATCCTCGTTTAATTTGTGCCCTTATTTATTTTATCTCTGTCAAGGTTGTGTAGAAAGTTAAGGTGTGATTGTTCGTTTTCTTTTCTTGTCTATGTGTGAATGTTCATGCGTACAATTTTTAGATCTAGTTGGATTTTAAGATTTCATTGATTGCCGTTCGACAAGTGCGGTCGTTCTACCAGACATGAGTTTGCTCACATGATATGGAGATGGTTTCTTTGGAAGCGGCCCAAAGTTTCCTGAGGAGAAAAATAGGACAGGCTAGGTTTGCACAGGACGCTTGGACGACATGGGATCTTGAAGTTGTACACTTGTAACATGATTGATGAGTTGAACGATTGAAATCTTATCCTGTAATCCTGTATGCTTTTCTAGTAAGGCCGCATATAGTTATGACTAAAGTTGTCCTCCCAGTGAGTCCTAAATTCTCACCCTCTCCATGGTAGGATATATTGATTTGAAAAGTTGGGTCTTGCAGCAATGGCGTTGGATGTTGGTCGATTGGCTGCTGACAAGGAGATAGATACTGAGCTCAATGGTACTGTATTTTAGTATTTATATGATTAATTGTTTCAAACTAAAAGATTTTTTGGCTATAACTAGCTACCGAACTAATCTGCCCGCAGATGTCCCCACAGATGCACCTGAACCAGTTGATGGAGGTTATCGACAGAAGCAGAGTATTCAACCGTTCTCTGATGCAGACAACATCTGCTTTCAAACTTTATCCATTTCTGACAGAACGGTAAAGCAAAATTGTTTGAAACAGAAGCATTTGAAGTCACAATGGATGCGTGATTCACCCAATGCATCATGGGGGAAGGAGGTCCGATTGTCAGAGAAACATTTTAGTAGAAAGTGCTTACAACAAGAATGTTTGAAGTTCAAGGACAACGAAGATGTCAGACAGCAATATAAATTATGGAAAGCGGAAGATAATGGTACTTGGACTGTTGTATATGATTATATTATATGTAGTATACATATGTCTGCATATCATATATATTAATTGGGATATGACCTGGCCTTTGCAGGTGGAAGAAAGGATGTCTGGCGCCCCCCTCGGAAACTTGTCGGTGTTGTCACACATTGCCCAGCCAGTGGCGGATCCAGGAAATATGTTTATTGGGGGAATAAATAAAGGTTAGAATAGGGCTGTTAACGAGCCGAGTCGAGCCCGAACACCCAGAGCTCGAGCTCGGCTCGATTCGGTAATAGGAGTGTTCGGGTTCGAGCTCGAAACTCGGCGAGCTTTAAAAACGAGGATCGTGTCGGCTCGGTAGCCGTGTCGGCTCAATATGTATGCTCAAATTTAAAATTTAGGTTCATGCTTTACAAATGTGGTTCGAATTATTTGACAAGTATTCAGTTCGTTATTAATCATATTTAAATTCATAATACCATACTAATTATGTTTAAATTTTGACATATACATAAATTATATTTATAATTTTATGTTGTTCGATAGGCTCGAACTCGGACCAAGCTAAGTACTGCTATGTTCGAGTTTAACACTCAGCTCGAACCGAGTTCAAAAGCTCGACTGAGCTCAAACTCAAATATTCGATAAATGTTCGATTCGTTAACCGTCCTAGGTTAGAGCAAGAGATTTTTTATCTTAAAAGTAAAGGATCAAATGATCAATAATTTTACTAGAGTCAAATATCTATATTAGAACATAATAATAGTTCTACAGTACGCCATAAGTATTTGTATACTAGCACAAAATGAGCGGGTGAGGAGGAACCCGATCTCAGACCCATTCTCACTTCAGCCATGTAACATAATATTCTATCATATTTTATATGTTAGAAGTGTAACATAATTCAACTCATCAATCTGATAGCAAATATTTTACATAACTATATTAAGTACTACGTAGTACTTATAATATTATTCCTGTAAGAGATGCACTCATACCCATAATTATAAATGAACTAAAGTACTTTTGTTATACTACGTAATTATTTAATTTTTGTTTTTGATTTATTTGATTCAAACATAATTGTTATAGTTACCGTATCTCAATTCAAACAAACTAAGACATACTGCGTCTTTTTAGAGAGGCATTCATATAACTAGTTTAGCACGTTATAAAAATTTATTGGGGGCAACTCATAATTTTTGTTGGGGGCAAAACCGTTTCTAATCATTAATAACTCTATCATATATGAAAAAACTTGGAATTTTATTGGGGGCACATGCCCCCACTCCCTAAGCAGTACATCCGCCCCTGTGCCCAGCAGAGAACAAAAAAAGAGGAGCATTTCCTTCTAGGAAGGCACCAAGTGTGGGGCCATCACTAAATCAGTCAACATTGCCGAAGGAAAAGAGAGCTACATCACGGAAGAAGACAGCTAGTTCTGGGGTGCTTGAGAATGGTACTGCTTCAAAAAATAAGCTTTTGCAGCCTCCCAAGGATAATAATGTCTTAGCATTGAAGAAGCCTGCGCTTGGAGCAGCAACATCTGATTCCCCCAACCCATCAACAAAAAAGCCCAATAGAATTTCCAAACCTAGCGAACACCATTATATCTCCTATCCAATGTACTACTCCCTGTCAGCCAACAAATCAGTGGACCCACAAAATCCAGTTGACTGTTTTTATTATGGTTGTCTATGTGCTCGCATAGACAACCATCGTAGCGAGAGCAGCGACAGTGACAGCGGGAGTGAGAGGGAGAGAGAGAAGGAGTGGGAGAGGTTGAAGGAGGGCGAGAGCACCAGCAAGAGCGAGTCATCTGGAGGAGCAAGCTACGAGTACTTGAAGGAGCATGGCCCGAAGGGGCTCCCTGATTGGTACAAGTACTATAGATTCTGGTAGTTCCTTATGATTCAACTTGTATTTTTACCCGTGCCTTGCACCGGATAAAAGTCTATTCAAGTTCTAGCACATAATCTGTGTATGTGTGTGTTTATTCAAGTGTAGTCATGTTAGTTATGTTAGTGTGTATTTCGTTCATTTTAAAACATGACATGCATTTTTGTTAGAAACATTTGTAGGAAAACAAATGAAATGTTTTGATTTGTACTATTACTTGCATATATTAGTAACATATTACACACATAACATACATGTGCAACTGTCCATTCTAACTATGTCATCTTCCTGTTTTGATTGTTCAAAAACTTTATTACTTTCACAATTAATCAATGAATTTGTGTTTTAATTCTTGTCATTTCTCTATCTACTAAACAAACCTCAATCATACAGTTTTGGCTAAAGGGTCAAATAGGTACATGAACTAACTTAAAGTGTTCAATTAGCCCCTTATATAAGAGGTTCTGCCCGGTCGTCGCCAATTGGGGCGGTTCCCAGTTGAATTTTTTGATGAAATTTTTTGAGCATCTTCTTCATTAAGTCTAGTTTACCCATATCAAATTTCAGCTAAAAATTAAATCGGGAAGGCGGTCAATTGATTTCCGAAATATACTGCGCTGTTTAACTGCGCAGTTATCTTCAAAAAATCATTTGACTGCCTTCCCGGTTGAATTTTTAGCTGAAGTTTGGTATGGGTAAACTAGACTAAATGAAGAAGATGCTCAAAAAATTTCATCAAAAAATTCTACCGGGAACCGCCTCAATTGGCAACGGTCGGGCAGAACCTCCTATATAAGGGACTAATTGAACACTTTAAGTTAGTTCATGTACCTATTTGAGCCTTTAGCCTACAGTTTTTATTTTATTACTAAATAAATGTCACTGATGCGCTGCACGAGGTGTTAAATATAGATAATTTAAAATTTTCTATGTGATATATACTCCGATGGAAATAATTAAACAATGCCCGGGCATTTTTGCTATATAACACGTGCATTACATGGGATGCAATTTATAATTATTAAATTTAAAATAATGTAGAGAATAGTTGATGTGATTGATCTCAAATTTTGCTTGATAGCTTTTTTTAAATGGTGAGAAAAACTACGAACATTTTATGAGCCTTGATTTTTTGTTTAAAGTTTAAATTCAATACTTCCTCCGTCGTATAAAACTTGTTCATATTGACTTTTCTTGATCAATGATTCTTAAGTTTGACCAATAATATTTTGTAATATGAAATCATTTTAAATTTTAAATTGAAAATATTCTTTGTTCAAAGTACTCTAATAAAATTATAAAAGTATAAGTTTTACAAAAATATAATAACTAAATTCATTGTCCTTTTTTATCATTGATCAAGAAAAGTAAATTGGTTAAGTTTTGTGGGATGGAGAAAGTAATAAAAAGCACTGAGTTGTGTGTTGGTTGTTCTCTTTGACCAAAGCCAAGCAAATTCAAACCAATATGAAACTACTCTAAATTGTAATTGAACCATATGCAATTCCATATAGTTTTATCAATTCTAATTCAAATATTTTATGAATTCATAATCTGAAAGATAAAGAGGTCAATACAGACACTCAATGATTGAAAAGTATCAATCAAAAACCTAAAATATCTATCATAGATATCATTTATTTCGTTCTTATTTATTTTATTGCCAAGTTTTGATGACTATTCCTACAAAAGGTTATTAGTTTAATAAAGTTAAAGAATGACCAAGGGTTTTAAAATAAAAAAAAATGAAATTCATGAGAAGTACTACAAAGTATACTCCAATAGATTTGGGATTCTGATTTTGCGCCACCAGAACAAACACTTGATTCCTGATGTGCAGTACACATAATAATTTAAGGAAACACAAATCACAATAGCATAGAAAGAATAGTAAATTATTTTTAGGTCCAGTGAGATTTTGGGACTAAAAACTCCAATACGACACCTTCAATATCACCAAATGACTATTATATTGATTTAATTATACATTAGCCAACACATGAGAAAATGATGTTTTTTGTCTTATTTATTGGGACTAAGAAAATACGGAGTAGGAAATATGAGACACAAAAACTTTAAATATGGTGATAGCAGTCCAGGGTTCCAAGGATCAGGTGTTTTTTTAGCAAAAACAATAAAGATTTTGACCTTTGACAATCGTCCTACAAAAATTGTAAACTTATCCTTCTAACTATACAACTCTGACTTCCCCATTGTTTGGTAACATTTTAAAAAGTGGGCGTTATACATTTCATAGTTCACATGTCTTTTGAAAACTTACATTCATTGAGCCCTCACTAATTCTGGGCCATGTGTGGTGGGTTACCCACACATACTTTGGATCAGCTTGGGTCATGACTAACCATTCACCTCTCTCAAACCTTTCATTAATAATAGATCACAACTCACAATTAGGTTCCCGGCCTAAAGCTTGCTTTACTTGCTCCTTTCCTTGACTATTTCGTAGTATTTTGTCACAACTGAATAAACCTAATTTTATCACGGAATATATTTTTATTTGTCAATGAATGAAACTTTTGATCAGTTGAACTGATTCTAGAGATGTGTTTTAATGTGTATTTTATTTTTGATCTATTTCTTCTTATCTAATTTGGTGTAAGAGCATGTTTGATAATTCGTAAAATTTCAAAGTAAAAATATCCCGACTCCCATCACTTCATTCCCTTCATGCAAGGCCTGCGATTTCACCACTAGAACATACATGTAGAAAGGAAGGAGATCGAGCCAGATGATTTATATGAGGGGCGGATGTATTCCGATTCGCAAAATGTGGGCATTTCTGATATTGCTCTATCTGATTCTCATAGCTGGTGTACAAGGATCGATCCATGAATACAAGAACGAGGCTTTCATTCCTCGCTACAATTCATTCTTCTTCCATGGTGGCAGTGAGGGACTCTATGCTTCCAAGGTACAGGAGCAACACTCTCCAAACTCCCTTTCCGAAGAGAGCAATAAACCCCTCAATGGCAAGTCGTTCATCAGGTATCTATCATAGATTCGGTCCCAACCCCGGTGAATTGTAGTTATCGTTCATTTCACATTTGACCTATTTCCATCATTCTTTGCCCGTGGCATTGCTTCAGTATAATCGACAGAACTTTCTGCTTCTTTTGCTTGCTTGTTCACACTTATCAGCTTAAGAAACGCTCTTTTATTAGCTACTAGATGGTGTCTAGAAAAGGGATATACGGTTTCCCTTTAAGTCATAGGTGTAAATATGTAATTGATAATTTGATATTATAACCTACATCATCCTCAGTTGAGAGTCTTGTGATTTTAGTATTTTCAATCACATAATTTGATATTATAACCCACATCATCCTCAATTAAGCCCTCAGTTGATTTTAAATCACATAATTCGCCCCATGTGTTTATGTATATTAGCTCTTCTGTTGCGGATCTAAGTCATTGATGTGGTTTTATTGGACATTCAATTCCACACTACAAAACTTCACATCTTTTGAATCATTTGAGTACTTTGTGAGTATTTCAAGCAATTGGGTTGAAGGGTTTACTCATCCAATCCCACATTGTTTCAGATTTGAGTCTATTACCTTTAAAAGGTCAAAAGAGGCTGCGAACAGGCAAAATGCAATGCAGCACAGTACAGGACTTGTTGAAGCCATTATTCTGGACGTCAAAGATAGGGATAGAATCGGCGGATACTACCTGAACTCTGATGCAATATGTTGCACACCGGATCTTGCCAAGGATGGATCCTGTAAGGTAGGTGAGGTAATCATACGCCAAGATCCCGAAAACCCCGGATGGCCTAAACGAATCCAAACTTCGTTTGAGGGAAACAGCAAGGAGGCTAATATGATGCTTCAAACCACTGAGATCAACAAGACCGGAATGTATTATTTGTATTTCATGTTTTGCAACCCGGAATTAAAGGGAACATTGATTAGTGGAAAGACTGTTTGGAGAAACCCAGAAGGCTATTTACCAGGGAAGATGGCCCCGCTTATGACATTTTATGGGCTTATGTCTTTGGCTTACCTTGTTCTAGGTCTCGTTTGGTTTTTGCGCTTTGTGCAATACTGGAGGGATATAATACAGTTGCATTACCACATCACTGCTGTTATTGGTCTGGGGATGTGTGAAATGGCTCTTTGGTATTTTGAATATGCAAATTTCAATTCCACAGGAAGCAGGCCAATGGGAATTACCATTTGGGCGGTTACCTTTAGTGCTATCAAGAAAACAGTCTCAAGGCTACTTCTTCTAGTGGTTGCAATGGGTTATGGTGTTGTACGGCCCACCCTTGGAGGTATAACCTCAAAGGTATTGCTTCTTGGTGCAGTATACTTTCTGGCTTCAGAAGCTCTTGAGCTTGTTGAGCATTTGGGAAATATTAACGACTTTTCTGGAAAGGCAAGGCTCTTCTTAGTATTTCCAGTTGCATTGCTTGATTCCAGCTTCATTGTTTGGATATTTTCATCACTATCAAAGACTTTAGAGAAGCTTCAGGTGCGGATACTGCACCTTTTCACACACACAAAGTTCATGCATTAAATACCCTCTGAGGTTGTAGTTATTTGGCTGAACTGTATGCATATGTAAAATTTTCTGAAAGGAGAAGTGTCTCGTAACATTCACTTTACCCGTAGCTACTTCTTCTGACTATTCTGATTAATGATACGAAACAGAACCTAATTAGTTTAAATGGAAATTATTTACTACTTCCCTTTACACTGATGTCTCTAATTTGAATTAATAGTTCTGTTCACATGAATTCGGGAGAGAAATTGGAGAAAGGTTCAAACATTTCAGTTAATTGATCATTTTTACTCATATGGAATTCAGGTTCGGAGAAGCTTGGCGAAACTTGATCTGTATAGAAGGTTTACCAATGTTCTTGCCATTTCAGTTCTGCTTTCTGTTGCCTGGATTGGCTATGAGGTTTCCTCCCCACATCTATTTCTCATCTCTTTTCTCAACTAATGAAACTCTTACCTCATTTCACGCCATCAAGTAACTACTAATTTTATTAATGTGACTTTGATATTATAACATACCGGAGTAATTTTTCAACACTCTTACCTTGCATATGTAGGGGAATAGTGGGACTAAATGGTCTAAACCTAATAGGAAACCTAAACACCAAGCCTAACAAAATTAGGAAATTACAATACTACCATTAAGGCACAGTACAACAATAACAACATCCAAGGCTTAGTCCCAAAACATTTTGGAGTCGGCTAACATAAGAATTATTTCCTTCCTCACATAATTTATTAAGGCACAGTCTGGAAGTAAAATATGACTTTAGTGCTCACACAATCTTGCAGGCAGAATTATTTCCTTTCTCTTATAATGCCTTTTAATGCTCTTTCACCCACCTATGAAGTATACGGAGTATATTGATCTTATGGTATCAATCTTGTAATATACATGGCTAGTACTCAAGTACTATCTCATACTCCCTCCGCCCCATAAAGGTTGGCCAATTTTGACATGCATGTGGAATAATAAAGTTAAAATTGTGTGGTTAAAATTTGTTTAGGGGAGAAAGAAATCATATGAACCACAAAATTGTTACTAAAAAAAAATGGCAAGCTTTTTTTAGATGGAGGTAGTATCATTCTAGTATCCCTATATCTTTCATTAAAGTGGAAATAACATATGATAGTGGTGGTTTTGATTCTTTTGTAAGAAGGGTGTGACAACAGACAAGGACATTCAGCATTAAACTGTATCATAATGTTGTTTTCATGAACTTAAAGTGTTAAATAATACTTCCTCTATTCTTTTTTAGTTGCAACGTTCCCATTTTCATGCTTGGCAGTACACAACTTTGACCGTCATTATATTTAATTCTCTATTAGTAAAAGAAGTTTAAGAATTGGATTATGAAAATTTGTAATGAGATGAAATCAACAATATTTTTCAAAAAAAATAATTGTCATAAATTAATAAATAAAATGTAGTCAAAGTAGAGCATGCGCATAGTGTAAAATTTTCCATGTTGCCAGTTAAAACAAATGCAGGATAGTATTAGAAATCTACACTAATTTTAAATATTGCCAACCCTGACATGTTAGGGATTAAGTTGATAGAGATGATACATTTTTTAAATTCCAAGCATCTCTTACCTTTTTCTCTTTTCATTATCATTATTTGTTGGAAAGGGGTGGTGGTGGGGAAGTGAGAAACAATCAATTACTCCGTATAATTTATAATACTTGCACAAAACCACTTTCTTCTTTTTCTAACATGTATACTTTTGAGTTTTAATGAATCGTAATGACAATGTTTTTGTTCTTCTGTTTTTTTGTATAGTTATACTTCAATGCTAGTGATCCTTTGAGTGAATTGTGGAGAAGGGCATGGATAATTCCAGCTTTCTGGATATTATTAGCATATTTTCTGTTGGTGTTGATATGTGTTCTTTGGGACCCATCATATAACCCTACCAGGTACTGGGGAGTTTTATGTTCTATTATTTACAACTAATAGGCAATACAATACTTTTTATTTATAGCTCACTCATTGGGCAATAATGTATAAACTTCATGTGTGCTATATTTACCTAGGCCCTGCACAGGCGCCGAACTTCCTTGACCATCTCCGAGACTCCGACATTTTTCCATATGAAGTACCCCACATCGGTTGTCTCCAGAAGACCATTTTAGATTGGGTTAGGCACAGTTTAATTGGTGTTGGTTGGTGCTGGTACTTGAGGAGCCTTGCCCATTCATTGGCCTGAGGCAACTTGTTTGGGAGTCGTTTGGACACATTTGTTCACCCCTGCAGTTGTTTTATTCTGCTTGGTCTGAGTTGGTATTTAGAGTATTCCAGTATCCCACATTGGCCATCGATTACTCTATTTGGTTTGAGTCTAACCCCTCATGAGCATCCTTTTGTGTGGGTTAGACTTAATTTAACATTTTAATCTCTGCTAGTCTACCCTGCTTAGATTTTGATTAAGCCCTTCCTAAATCCACCTAGGTATTAGGCCCCCAGAAAGATTGTCTAACACTTGTTCAGAACCCTCAACCCTGCAATCGGGTGATAGAGAAAGTGTGGATAGCCCTTGGGACCTTAGGGTGGAGCTCATTGTAATTTGTATTATGAAATGTCAAGCTGATTTCAATCCATATCCGTGCAGATATGCCTACTCGGAAGAAACAGGTGATGATGAGGAACAGGTATTATCCCTGACTGCCAGCGGAGTAAAAGTCGTTGGAGATTTAGCAAACAAACTGGAAAGAAAGGAAAGGAAGGGATCAATTACTACAGATCATGTGTTTGGAATGGCAGAAGTTGTTGAGGAGGACAAGAGAGAATGAATGATGATCTTCTTCTTCATTCAAACACAACAAGATTAGAAGTTACAGGAACACACTTAGCAGTCATTTCACACCTGCTGTACAAGAACTGGGGACAAACTGGCTGCAAATAAATGCACCCACAAAAGTTGATTCTCTGTGTTAAATGATTGAGTAGCCGAAACAGATGTGACATAACAGCGCTTAAACTGCAAATATGACATCCTCCTTTTCTTACTCTGCTAGAGCTTCATTTGTGAAGGTGTTAACACTTGAGCTTATATAGGCAAAACTAAACAATTATGGTATAATATGTAATGTGTGAAAAGCATGGTAACAAAGTACCTTTTGTTTAAATATGTGATTTATCATACATTCATACCTTTTCATGACTGTTCCACACAAACGGTTACAAACTATGTAATGTGTTCCACACAAAATTCACAACTGTTTATCTACCATTTATTTGTTTGAAGAAAGAATTTTCTCACTATTGTTCTTAGTTTCTTATGGAGAGAAAACATCTTACTTGATATTTTGACAATTTGATTACTTCTTCACTGTTCTTTGCTGAAGTGACTTTGGAACTGAAAAGTTTATGTGGTCAGTAGTCATTGATTCTTGAAAATGAAAGTGTTTTTGGGCAAGCGATTTCTGAAAATGTGCTGTGGTTGGAAATAGTTCTGTTTCCAAATCAATTTGGTTGTAGAACATTGTTTTGACAAAACTTTGCTTCGAAGTGTTTACTTGGTTAAAACTTGAAACTTTTTTATTTTGCAAATCATTTTTGCAAAAGATTGGTAAGAAGGAAGGTTGTGTGTTTGTAAGAAGCTTTTGATCCAGAAAGAACAAAACATAAAATGTTCAGATCAAATAAGCTGCAGATAGCAGTCAAGTTTTCTAAAAACTGTACAGTGAAACTAGGGTTCACCTTGTCCTGGTTCCAACTTTTTATATGTATTCATATGCATTATTTTTATACTACACCCTAAGCGGGAAGTCTTGTGTCAGCTACTACTAGTAACAAAAACATCTCCAAATCAATTCCAACCAATCCTGATTATTCATAAAGAGTCAATAGAACAAAAACTGACTTGATTAACATAACTTCTAAAAGTGGTGATTTTTTTTATCATTGTGGTGAAATTTTTTATTCCTCATATTACGTGATAGAGAACCGGCTGTTCCAGAGCCAGACTAGGTCCAACCCTATGAGGCTATGACAAATGCTTACATGTATATTGTTCTAATTAATAGACCTAAAACTGACCATGTTTTTGTATAGAAATTATAAACTTTACAGTTTGTGTACAACATATTAAGCTATTGACAAAATAATGAATTGGGATAAATGAATGAGTAAAGGCAAATCACATCAACAACAACAATGACAAATTGGAATACTAAAAAAATTGATACAATATCACATTGCGTCAGCAACCTTCGAGAGAACCATCTTTCCATTTCATAGCACTTCTGAGACATTGAAGAGTGTCATAAACCTCAACTGTCTTGTGGGAGGATGAATCCCCTGAAAAGAAGAGTTCAGTCCTATCTTTCACCTCAATCCAACTGCACCCACCAATCTTCTTCAGCCCTTTCTGCTTCATCTCTACCCTCAGTCTTGCCGCCTTCTCTTTTATCCCACACTCGCCATACATATTCATCAACTGAACATAATTGCTACCCCTTCTTGCTTCCAACTCCAGTAGGTGCTGGGCAGCCAAATCCCCAAGCTCTAAATTGGAATGGACCCGACAAGCTGATAATAAACATAACCAGACACTTGGGTTGTGTGCCACGGACATTTTCAGTATGACGTTATGGGCCTCGTCCAGACGTCCAGCACGGCCTAACAGGTCCACAATATTAACGTAATGATCCGTTTGTGGTTCAACTCTATGCTCTGTCATTAACTGAAAAAGTTTCAGGCCTTCATCAACCAGCCCAGAATGGTTACAAGCAGAGATCAAGGAAAGGAAGGTTACATGATCTGGTGTGGTCCCTGATCTTAACATTTCATTGAACGAGTTGATAGCTTTAAAACTCTCTCCATGGGACCCATATCCGGAAATCATTGAATTCCACGCCATCAAGCTTCTCACAGACATTTTATCAAACAGACGTTCCGCATACTTTAGGCATCCGCTTTTGATGTACATATCAATCAATGAATTTTCCACTTGATTATCTGCTTGAATCCCATATCTTATTAGGTAGCCATGGAGAGCCTTTCCTTTAAGTAAAACTGCCATAGATGAAACCGCAGTTAGTGCATTAGTAATTGAAACTGCATTTGGGATTAACCCATGCTGCATCATTTGAGATAGAACACGAACAGACGATTCAAGATGGCCATTTTGAGAATAACATGACATCAAAGTGTTCCAAACCACCAAGTTCTTGTTGGAGATTCCAAAAAAAATGGTTTCAGCCACCTCAGGTTGACCGGATTTGGAATAAACATCCATCAAAGAACTAGCCACAAAAGCATCTGATTCCAGCCCATGCTTAACGGTGAGCCCAAAGAGAGAATAACCTAATTCTTTACTACCGATCCCAACACCTGCATTTATAGCAATTGACAGTATATTTGAGTCCAGCTTTAGGTAAGAACTCAGCATTTGTTTGAACAAACCAACTGACTCTTCATATTTTCCATTTTGATGAAAACCAGATATCATGGCACCCCAAGCAATCACATCCTTTTCCTCCATTGCACCGAAAACTTTAACTGCAGCATCTACTTCACCACATTTTACATACATAGTCATCAATGCACTTTGGACTTCAAGATTGGTTTGAACCGGTCTTTTGATGAGTTCAGCATGAATTGATGTACCAAAATAATAAAAACCAACAATGCCACATGAAGTTAAAATGTTTGATATTGTGAACGAATCAGAGGGAACCGCCATTATTTTCATTTGGTTGTAAGTGATGAAAGACTCAGCAACCCATCCGTTGCCTACATAAGCTGAAACCATAGCATTCCACGTTTCAATCCCCTTTAGCATTACAGAATTGAAAACATTCTCCGCATCCTGAATTAGTCCACATTTTGCATACATGGTTAATAGAGAGGTGTGAATGTACTGATCAGAGTCAAATCCCATCTTCACAACGTCTGTATGGAGCTGCCTGGCAAACTCAAAATCTTCGCCCTCACAACATGCTATCAATGCATTGCAGCACGTACTTGGCATCACTTCATAATTCTTCTCCCTCAATAACAAATATAACTCCAAGCTCCTACTCCACAACCCATTTCCACAAAAGCCACTTATCATTGCATTCCATATAACAATATTGTTCTTAAATTCCTGGCTCTCAAACACAAACCAAGCATCCATTACCCTTCCACAATTGGTGTACATATCAATCAGAGTAGTCACAATGAAAGGGTCTCCCTCAAACGAATTTCTAATCACATATCCATGAATTTCCTTTCCAGACAAGAGCCTAGATGACACTCCAAGAAGAATGCTGAGAGTATATCCATCAGGCTTGATCCGTAAGGCCTGCATTTGGCGAAACTGAGCTATGCAGTCAATAGGGAGCCCATTCTTGAAGTACCCATCAATCATGGCGTTCCATAAAGTCACGTCTTGGCTAACAGCTTCCAAGTTGGAAATTTTATCAAACACCTGGTCTGCGTCGCATATCGACCCACATTTGACATACATATTGATAAGAGAAGTGGCAATGTAAGCATCGAACTGCAAACCCATTGCAATTATCGTGGCGTGTATGGCTTTTCCGATGGTGAGGCTGTGCAGGGAAGCGCATGCTTTGAGCACAGAAGGGAAGGCGAGTTTGGAAGTAGCAAGAGGTTTTTTGGAGTAGCATTGCAAAGCTTCGAAAAAATGGCCTTTCTTAACAAATTCCTGTATATCGGAGGAGTTAAGATGTGACGAGGAATGAATTTGCTTCACTGTTGAGAATCTCCGAGAGATTAATGGCCGTAGTTGCATAGCATCAATTTGTCACGCCAAACCTGTCCATTTCGGTAAATCTGAAAGAAACATTTTGAAATTAATTTGTGGATAAAAATAACTGATTTTCTTGATTTTGTTTTGTGTTTGGCTTAAAAACTATTCAACACGATTCACTTCGTAAAAAAAATACAGATTATGCTGTAGAATATTTTATCCTGTAATTGTACATTTTGGAAAGAGAAAAAATTATACTCCATATATTAAATTCTTCCCATAAGACTTGGACATTAAGAAGATACAAACGGATTTGTTTGTTACGAGTACTAGTGACGTACGCATTTCGTGCGAGTTATGCTCAATGAAGAGAATCAATGATTTCACATGTTTAATTAAATTAATTAATATGAATATGAAATTTTTTATTTTTGCATATAATGTATAGAACTATAGATTACAGGGAATTTTAATCACAAAGCTTCTGAAAATGTATTATTTATACCAGGGGAGTGCTTTTGAAAAAATATATTTTGTTAACACTTATATAGTCGTTATAGATGGAGCCTATTATCAGCAGGATTTCAAACCTGGTACAAACAACTAAAAAAATAACTAACACCTTTAATCTTAAAAATATACAACACTTGCAACAACAAGTTGTTTTGTCTTTCAATTCTATTTTCCAGAATTTCAATCTGGACAACATGAACTCTGGCAGTCTCAACTCAAGATGCCCAATCCAAATCTGTTACAATTCCATTTAAGGGTGAAGCAAGTACATTAGGTGTTCTACTGGAGAAGGAAATAACAAGAAACTGGTTTAGCATCCATTAGTTTTGTCAATGAGCCCTTTAAAACATCAAATATAAATTACTCATTCATATTGTGTAATGCTGACCTCTAAAGAAATTGCAGTTTAAAAATAGCAATGTTTTGAGTGACACAAATTTAAAAGTGCAAATAAGAATCTGGCACTACTAAAAACCTAGGACTAAGATTTCCTTCCTGTTGTGAACAACTAAACAAAATTGAATCTGGATTTGATCTATCCAACTAAATTGCAGCGGACAACGGTTTTGGCATGTGATTATCAAAATAGTTCATATTAATGAACAGAAATGAAAACTCTCTATGTCAACTCAAAATGCCTAATCCAAAAATCTGTTGAATTCCATTTAAGGGTTAAGCAAGGACATTAAGTCTTCAACTGGAAAGGAAATAGTAATAAGAAACTGGTTACGCATCCATTACTTTTCCACTTTAAATTGTGTAAAAGAAGACTATAAGGTTGAGAAGATTTAAATTTTGACAAAAACACAAACTCTTCCTCTGTAAACAAGTCATAGGTGGTATTAACTTTGCAATACTGCTGAATAGTTACTTTTTAACAAAATTGGCTTTTAAGTGAATTTGTAAATTCATTAAGAAATCAGACGTAATTGTACAATGATAGCAACGTGAAGTGGTTGTTTAATACTAGGCAGGCAATTACAAGAGAGGATCAGAAATACTTACCTGAAGCATGTAATTTTTGTGCTTTGTGTCACCGGTGAACATTGTCCTTATCTTTTTTTATAGTGATGGCAGGAGCATTCTTCTTTGGGTGTATCAAGTTGAGCATTGTTAGCATTAGATTCATTCCTTTCATTAAGTAGGCGTTTCCATTTTGTTTTTAGCAATAGAAAACATGGCATACTGGCTGAATACAATAAAGCATAGCCAAGTATTTCTTTATTCAAGGAATGAGGAAGATGGCTTCAAGAGCAACAATGAAAGTGAGATATGTGAATCTATCATTTAATTCATCACAATTGAGAAAATCAATTGTTCTAATTACGTAGATCAATGTTAACACCTTATATAGTTCATTAGCGAATAAAGTTGTCTCAAGGATAACGATTTATCCGAGAGTTCGACAACAAGTCGGATCGGGGTCGAAACCTTTCATGAGTATAACAAAATGACATTAATGATAAGTTTTTGAGAAAAAAACCACTATAAAGTTTAAATAAGTTACCTCTTTATATTGATTCCATTTTTGTAACCATAGTGCATGCATTGAAACCGGGTTAAAGGTGCACACAATGGTTCTTTTACACACCAAATAATCTCTGCTTCAAGTAGTTAAGAATTTTGACTGGGTCATTAGGTCATAGAGGTAAGGTGTTTACATTTTTTAAGTTGAAGTGCAGGCACTTACAGTAATACTACATTACTATATACGTAGTATGAAGTTTTAGTGCAGGCAGCAATTTGACAGAAACATATAGCAGACAATCAGGGGCGGATCAAGGATTGAGAGGTGGGATGGGCTAAGCAGCAATTTTTTTTACTACACATACAAGGTTTATGTCAGGGCTGTTATCTAATCGAGCTTTTTTGAATTATATAGTCGAGTTCGAGCTTAATTTTGCCTCTAATTTATCGTGTGTTAAAATCGAACATCGAAAATCTATCGAACCAAAATTAAGCACAATTTTATACTAATTGAATATTCATTTCACTTTCCTTTCTTGACAATATGTTCATTATCTATTTTAAAAAACATTTTCAATGTTCATATGAATTAAAAACATTCTATAAAATTATAAAAACTAATAAGTAAAAAACAATCGTTGTACCTAGAAGTAATAAGTATTCACAATTTCAAAATTCAATTGAAAATTTCAATTATTTATTACATGTCCACACAATAAATAAATCATTCTCTAATCTTCAACTGTATAATAAATGAATCATTCTCTAAATCTGTAATCTTTAATTCTATCTTTAATCATTATAAATTTACAGTGAATTAAACACTATTTTAATTCATAATGAAAAATTCAATTAATTTTCAAATTGATTCACTAACCCCAAAACCCAAAAAGGCTAAAAATATTACTGAAGTAATACACAGTAAGTCAATAACAGTCACAAAAAATAATAGAGCTAAAATCTAAAAAGCTCACATGGAGGCTGGAGCTTCGGAGCTGGAGGAAGAGGCCATAGCGGCAGGCTAAAATCTATCAATCATGACGGAGGGCTCTGGATGGCGGAACGCGGTGTGGACGGCGGAGGAAAGCGTGGTGCGGCAGGGTCGCAGCTCATATCACGAGTTCTTGCCTTCTTCGTCGCAAACTCGCAAGTCGCAGTTCTGTCTTCCTTCTTCTTCGCACTTCCGCAGCCTCGCAGGTAAGTTGAATAGGTGAGCTGGGCTGTGGGATGGGCTGGGAGCTAATTTTGGAGTGGGCTAATAATAAAACTTAGACCTATACTAATTAAAAAAATAAAAATTGGGCTCCGTAGTTTGCAAATGTGTTTGAGGATAAAGGCAAAGTTTTTAAATTTAACAAATTCAATAGTTGATGTAGGCTGAAGTCATACGGTTAAGAGATTACAATAAATCCTAAAGCTGCATTTTTAGTGAATTAAACCAAATATAGAGATGTTGCAATTTTCCTAGTCGTCTAAACCATTGGTTAATGTAATTTGAAAACCCACTACTTGAGTAGCAATTTTTTTGTTTTGTTAGTTTTTCTGGAGATATATATATGCCTTCCCATAATATTCTTGATGCATAAAGAAAATACATTAAGAAGTAGAAGAGAAAAAAAAATGACCTTAAAGCACAAATACATTATCTATTTAAGCAAGCATGTTATTTTGTTTGAGCCAAAATATCATGTTATTTTGTAGAGCGTTAAAAAAACTTCACACGAGTGGACAAGTAAAAAGAATTTTTATCTTATATTTTAATTTAATGTAGAAGTGCAATAGTAGTCAATATGGACAAATGAGATTAGTAGCACTAGCAGATTACCGTCTTTGAAGCATGATGAGTGAGTATTTATATCTTATTAAGTAGTCGATTATGTTATGAGATTTTAAAATAAACTTTTAAATGAAACAAATTTTGACAATATTCTCAAAAAGGTAACTTTAATTAAAGAGATGTTGATATTTTCGTAATTGTCTAAACTATTACTCAATTAAATATGAAAAGCAAATTCCATACAAGATGTTTCATAACAGGAAAGTGTTAACTTTGTGACATTAGTGGTTAGAATTAAAACAAAATGCAGCTTGAAATTATAACTAATGTTAGGGACCATGTTATGATCGACCAATGCCTTGTAGTCACTTATAATGTAGTTAGCAATAAAAATTCAACTCTGAGAACTAATTTTATATGGTCATTATTGCTTATTGGTTATTATTACTACATACTACATACTTTTAGTGACTATATATTAAAGTGCTGCCACTCAAAATGATGTTAGAATATAAAAATGATTTACAATTAATTCTCTTAATCAGCTATAATAATTATTGGAGAAGTTCATCATGTTTTTCATTACTTTTTAAAGTCAAGCCTTTGAATAATTATCGCCTAAATAATGTTAGTGAAATAGGGGAGACTATCAATAACGTAACCCATATTCTCGCCTCCTACTTCATGCCAGCTAGTCACGTACATTTGTGGAAAAGCATTGTCTTAGTAGCTTTTTGTCTTTTAATATACATGAGGTATAATATGAGTCACACCCTTGAATCAGTTAATATGATCTTTGATATAATGTGTGTGAACTGGGGTAGTTTTAGTGACCATATTAACATATTCACTATGGAACACGTTGGCATATGTTAAACCAGTGGAGGACCTAGGCCGGGGCCTACCGGGGCAAGTGCCCCGGCTTCCGGCTAGGAATTTCACTACTAGTACTTAGAGTAAAATAGGTGCCCCTGCTTCAGGCCAAAATTTTCACTACTACTACTTCGGGTAAAATTAGTGCCCCAACCCGTACAAAAAGTTACTAGTATTAGATAATCAAGATACTAAAATGTTACGATTATATACTAAATTGTATTTGCTGATTTGGGGATTGTTTGTTTACTTGAAATTTGATACTTTGGAGATTGTGAATGCGCTCTACTTAAGGATTAGGGTTCTAATTTGTAAGGTTTTTAGTTTAATTTTTTTACTTGATTGTATTTGTCTTTTTTATTCGAAACATGAGTTTGGATAACTTTGTAATTTGGACTAAGAGGTCATTAGCCCGAGGGGGTAGTTCTTCGAACGTTGTAATCAGTCTATCTCAAGCGATGCAAATGTTGTTGCTCCGAATGTAAGCATTGTCCGAGATGAGTCTAATGACACCAGGGGAGACAAAAGAGCCCGCACAGATAGTACGTGTGAGTGGGATATCCCGCATTACGAAAGCCAATCATTGCATATGAGCCTCGAGTAAGAGATGACGTGATCAGAGCTTATGTCGGACCCCTAGTTGGAATATAGTATTTCTTAAGATGCTACATTTTGCTTTTCGTGTCACCTTTTCCATGGGTGTAGAAGGGAAGAGATTTGGAGATGATGTATTTGTGAGGACCGGGTTTCGTAATTGGAAAAAAAGTCTTGAAACATTTAGAGACCATGTAAAACATAGAATTACTCACTTGTTTAGCATGTCTTGATCCTAGAGATAAGTTCTCCAATTTCTGTGAGTCAAAGCTACTGAACCTCGCGGAATTATATATATTCATGCGATTTTTCATCTGTTGATCGAATGGAGCTGAGAGCAACTCCAGGTGTGTGGATATATGAAATGAGAACAAATGAATTATTTTCTGCCGTACAGACTATTGGTGAAGTTTGCAAAAGATGGTTGAGCTTAAAGTTCACAATTCTTTTCATTTGGTATATCGGCTGATTGAGTTGTCTTTAGTATTACCAGTTGTAACAACCACCGTTGAAAGAGCCTTCTCTACGATGAATATTATCAGGACAGATCTTCGTAATAAGATGAAAGATGATTATCTTACAGATTGCTTGGTGCATGTGCTACATCGAGAGAGATGTTTTTAGGAGTATTGATAATGAAACTAATATAAAACATTTTCAGAATATGAAAACTCGTAGGTTTGATTTACCAAAGTTACAGAAATGAACTATTTAATACTCCATATGTAATTAACTACTCCATATAATTTATGCTATTGTCTTACTTTTCACCATCTTTATTACATTTGAAATTTTTATTATAGAGTAAGTTTAGTGTCTAGTGTGCCCCTGCTCTGACAAATCTCTGAGTCCGCCACTGTGTTAAACAATGAAAATTGTGTCATCTTTAAAAATTTGAAAATCTACATCAGTGACCACGCTTATGTGTTTCATAGTAAGCACATTGACGTGTTCACAAAATTTACTCGTTAACACCCTGACATAGATCACAATTAGACTCACTAAGATCTTTTTAACCAATTCCAAGGGCAAATGTTCAGTTTATTCTGAATTCTAATGAGAATGTGAGTAGTTTCAACTAAATTGAACTTTATAACATGTCTTCTTTCCGAAAATTTAGCATATTATATGATAGTAACTTTAATCAGCAGTAAATGTAAAAATGGTGCATCAACTATTGAATGAAGCGAATTGAATTAGTATATTAAGTGCATTGAATTGTTCCAAAAATTTGAAAACTCCGGTCAAAATACTCCTAACTTCTCGCATTGACTATATTATTAGCTACACATTGATCATATTCTAAATTGGTCAGACTAGTAACAATATAAACCTCCAAATTGTGATATGCTAATTAATTAACTAATTAATTAATTACACAGTTTTTGAGTAAAATATTTGGAGCTCAAACTATTATGCTATTTATGCCCAATAATATAGTTTGGAATTCAAGTGATATCTATTTATATATAAGAAAAGAAATAGCTCATAAAAATACAATTTTACCCTTCATTAATCCTAGGTGTCAAACTCTCCACTATTCACTCATTTTCTATAAAAATGACACGTGGCCTTTTCACTCCAAATGTACAGAAAACACCGAAGGAAAGGAAGGGTGGGCGCATGGAATTCTATTTAGTGGGACCCAAGCTATAAAAAACCCCAATTGTTTTAAAAATGTTGTAACTTTTTCATTTTTGCTCCAATTTTTACAAAAAATATATCAAAATTTATAATTTTTTGCGATCTTTCTTTTGAGATCAATATCAAATATAAAAATATAATTTATTAACCGTCTCTATAATTATATATAAAATATATAATAATTCTGTTTTTTTATAATTCTATTTTTTTTTAAGAAGAGAACCGAACACACCATTCCAGTATTGCATATAAAAAATTAAAAAAATATATAAATATTTATTAAGCAACCTATTTATAAATATGTTAAAAATTATATCAAAGTGACTATAAAAGTATACTCATACCAATTTAAACAGTTTTATATTCCCAAGTGTCTATTGCAATGGTCACAAGAATTATGAATTTTAATATATTTTGTAAAAGTTAAAGTTAAAATTAAAAGGTTATACTACTTTGAATATAAATAGATTAAAAAAGGATAATTGATAAAAAAAGACTAGCCATTATATAATACAAAAATGTTTATATGCTCATTTTTCATTTGAAATTATGTGCCGTTTGGTGACCCTGTTTCGGATTTGTCAACTTTATTTGTCAATTTTTCATCAAATACTTAATTTTTTATTTCGTAGACTGAATTGTGTAATGATCAAAATAAGAAAGGTTGACGTTAAATTTCTACCTAAATTGAATGAAGTTATTATAAACGAAAATTTTAGCTTATGTTTCAAATAAATGTTTATATTACCTCCGTCCCGGTGGACTTTGCCAAGTGCAAAGTAGGTGGGAAATAAGAAAAGTAAAAACTGTGTGGTTGATCTTTTTGCAGAGGAGAGAGAAATGTGCAGAACCATAAATTAGTTGTTTTAATAGGAAAGTGGTAAAGTTTTTTAGAACAACCAAAAAGAGAAAGTTGGCAAAGTCCAATGGGACGGAGTGTATTTTTTAAATAAATATAATTTAAATTCATTTTTTCCATAATTCAGTATATTCAGCCAGTTAAGCGGTTTCAATAAGAACTTCATCAATTTCAATATATTCAGCCATTTTATGTGTTGCCAAACAGACTCTAAATAACATTCTAAATGAAAAAGATGTTCAGTGTATGACAGTATTGTCAATGTAAAATATATCAATGGGTTTAAAATGTCACATAATATGATGAAGTTGCTCAAATGAGAGTCATACAAAAAATGAGCAATAAGAAATATAAAGTCATGTCATTGGCGGGCCCAAGGTATAAAACCCCCAAATTTTTCAGTGTTTTAACTTTTCATTTTTGTCGTAATTTCTAAGAAACAAATATCAAAATTCATAATTTTTTGACCTTTCATATGGGAAGAAAATTGCATTTAGAAAAAGAAAAAAAACGATTACCAGAAAAAAACTAGCTCTTCTAAAATATAAACAGCTTATATGCTCATTTTTTCATTTAAAATTACGTATTTAGGGATTTATCAACCTTATCAATCAATTTTTTAACATATAAGTAAATTGTAATTTCCCACACTGGATGATCAAAATAAGTAAGGTTTGAATTATTTTTCTGCCTTAATTGAATGAATTTACTGTACGGGACAATTTTAGCTACTTTTTCATATAAAATTTTGCATAATTTAGTAGATTCAACGAGTTCAGCACTTTAATCTAGAAAATCATCAATTTCAATCTATTTTGCCAATTTATGTGTTACCAAACTAACTCTAAATAAAATTCTAAATGAAAAAGATGTTCAATATATGATATTATTGTCATAAAAAAATTCTTTTAAGTATAAGATAAACCGACTAACAATTGAGGAGAGTAATTTTGTCTCTCATATGTAGTGCTTTTAGTTATGTGATAAGATAGCTAACAATTGATCAGGAGAATTTTATCTCTTATATGTAGTGGTTTTAGCTATAATAAAGAAGTTCGAATCCCGCAGCGACCATGTGGAGGTTACAACCTCTAAAATGGGTTGGACCTGTGGCACGCACGGGTATATGGACCTCTGTAAATTTACATCCTCCCATGTGCCCTGTCGGGTCGGGGCGTGGGGGCTCCGAGGGTGGGAGATTCCACCTTTTGGATCAAGGTATAATAAAAAAGATAAGCTTGCTTATAATTGAGTGGGGGATTTTCTCTCTCATATTAGAAAACAACCTTGCTAAAAATTGATCAGGGAAAGTTTCTCTCTCATATGTAGTGCTTTTAGGTATTAAAAGATAACTTTGCTAACAATTGAGCGGAAACGCTCTCTCTCTCATGTGTAGTTCATTTAAGTATAAGATACGTGAGCTAACAATTGAACGGAAGAATTTTGTCTCTCATATGTAGTGCTTTTAGTTATAAGATAAACCGGCTAACAATTGAGCGGGAAAATTTTATCTCTCATATGTAGTGGTTTTAGATATAAGAAGATGAACTTGCTAATAATTGAGCAGGAGAATTTCTCTCTCACATGTAGTGCTTCTACGTATTAGAAAATAAGCTTGCTAACAATTGAGCAAGAAAGTTGAACGGGATAAATTTTCTCTCATATGTAGCGCTTTTAGGGTATTAGAAGATATGTTCACTAACAATGGTTCAGAATAATTTTCTCTCTCATACATAGTTCTTTCAAGTATAACATAAACCAACTAACAATTGAACGGAAGAATTTTGTCTCTCATATGTTGTGCTTTTAGTTATAAGATAAGTTGGATAACAATTGAGCGGGAATATATCTCATATGTAGTGGTTTTAGGTATAAGAAGAAGATAAGCTTGCTAATAGTTGAGCTGGAAAATCTTCTCTCTCATATGTAGTGCTTCTACATATTAGAAGATAAATTTGCTAACAATTGAAAGAGAATATTGAGCAGGAGAATGTTCTCTCTCATAAGTAGTGTTTTTAGGTATTAGAAGATAAGTTAACTAACATTTTGATTGAGATATAACTTTGTCTCTTATATGTTGTTCTTTTAAGTATTCGTTATAAGATAAACCGGCTCACAGTTGCACGTGATATGAAGTGCTTTCTCACTCATATGTAGTGCTTTTAGGTATATGAAGATGAAGATGAAGATAAGAAGATAAGCTTGCTAACAATTGAACGGGAAAATTTCTCCCTCATATGTAGTTCTTTTAAGTATGATAATTCAGCTAACAATTGAGCGGGAGAACTTTCTCTCCCATATGTACTGCTTTTAAGTATAAGAAGATAAGTCATCTAACGATTGAGCGGGAGAATTCTCTCTCATATGTAGTGCTTTTGGATAAAAAAGATAAGTTTGCTAATAATTGAGTAGGAGAATGTTATCTCTAACATTTAGTCCTATTACGTATTAGAAGATAAACTTGCTCATAATTGAATGGAGAAATTCTCTCACATATGTAATTCTTTTAAGTATTTGATAAGCCGACTAACAATGGAGCGAGATAATTTTTTCTCATATTTAATTCTTTTAGGCTGTGTTAAGATAACCGGACCGGAACGAGCGGTTCGACCCAAAACCCGGCCACCCGGTCTGATTGAGTGTAAACCCGCAAATATGCACAAAATCAGAATTAACCGCAAATAGTTTTTAGGTATAAAATAAGACGGCTAACAATTTAGCAGGATAATTTTCTTTCTTATATGTTAGCACTAATTTAACTCATGAGTGGCAAAATCTTATTTAGCTAATATTATTATCTTTAATATTTATTATATTTACGTAAATATTATGTCACTCACTTATTTTACTCACTTCTTTAGAATAATATTTAATTTTAAAATTAACTTAATCATGAAAATTAATAAGTAGCAAATTCCAATGAGTGGCATCAATCAATTTTCGCTAATATACTCTTCATTAAGTATTTATTATATGGGCTTATATTTTATGGTAATAGCTCATCATACTCTTATTTTTGAAAATATAAAATCCTAAAAAGTTATTTTTATTTTAATATTTAATTTGATCATGAGTACAAATATATGCACCAACTGCTCTTTCCTGTGCGTATGCACGGGTGCCATACTAGTGGTGAACTAAAACATTTTAATATATCTAATGATTTGCTTCATAATACGGAGTAGTATAGTTGGGTAACATTTACGGAGTATTATTTTATCCCCTTTAATTACATAATGAAGCTGATTCTAAAACTAAAAAAATGGATATGTCATTTGTCAATATAGCAAAGTTAGAAAGATTATACACAAATATAATTGGATTTATGGTAGCTCTTTTTTTTTCTTTCAGTCCAGGTCCCCGAACAGTAAAGATAAACCCAAGGGATGATGAGCAAACTCAAAGAATGATTGTTTGTTATCCAAAAGTGAAATCGTTGATAAACAGAGTTTAACATTGGATTATAGTAATTGATGTTTGTTCATTGTTGTCATGGTGATAGTTGTTAGCCTCTGCATTGCATCAATTGGCCTCTTAACCTCTTCACATCAGCTTGTTTGAGAGGCTTTAACATGAACATCTGGGCTCCTTCCTCCAAGCATCTACATTCATTCATTCAGCCACCCTTTTGTGGTTATAAACAATTTCATATACTTCCTCCGTCCCATAATTAAGGTTACACTTCGATTTCACACATATTAAAGAAATAAATTTACGGGGATAAATTTTACTGTTTTGACACTGTTTCGACACTGTTTTGCACTGTTTTGTTTGCCAAATAAGGAAGTGAGACTTAATTTCGGGACTGCCCGTAAAAGAAAGTGGGAAGTTAATTTCGGGACAGAGGGAGTAAAAAATACAAATTGGGTCAAATAATGCATTATCAACTTCAAAGTATGAAAGTTTCTCACTGGTTGATCCGAGTCGGTATGTTTTCGGATGACATGATCACAACAGGTATGTCTCTCATATTTGATGATTCCTGGTTTCACAAGTAATATAACAATGGGTTGATAAAATTTTAGATTAAACTAGCTAATCAATTTGATAAGTGTGGTTTGGTATAAGTGTCAAGTGACTCAATTCAGAGGCGTAATACCTTGGACTGAATTAACTAATAGATTGAATGAATTTTTATATTTAATCATTACCTTGATTTTCTTGAGAAGTTCATAACCTGTCATTTCTGGCATGCAGTAATCTGTAATGATCATATTCACCTTTGACCCCTGCACAAAGTTAAGGGTAAGGGAGGTTAAAGGGGAGAAACCAATAGTCCAATATGGTATGTTTTGAATATATAAAAATGGCTTCATTTCTAGTCAAAAAAAAATGGCTTCATAATTTGGCTCACATTGATACTTGGAGGGTTGTGTTGTGGATCATCTCCCAAACCCAAATACTCCAAGGCCCTCAAACCACTCTCTGCAGTAGTCACTGAAAGCAAGCCCAACTTTTATTAGATATTCTCTATGAAAATGTGCAAACACTCAAGTCTCAAATATTTACATAAAATATCCAATATATATATATATATATATATATATATGCTTTTATGTGCCATTATTGCAATAGCTAGACGCCCAATGGGTGTCCCACAAGCACATACGAAGTATATGAAAAAACCTTTTTGTACACACTTTTAACTGTTTACACACTTTTACACACGTTTGTGGAAGTTTTTTTCTATAGAGCATACTCACAGACAAAACAAAGTTTTCACAGACGTGTGTAAAAGAGTGTAACAGTCAAGTGTGTACACCAAGAGTTGTTGCACATATATAGCACTCCCTTCCAACAAAAGTTAAACTTCAAACTATTATTTTGAATCAAAAAATAATTACTCATTATGTGACTTCGTATAAAATAATAATTAAAAAAGACTCAAGTGGAGTATGTGACTAGTGCCTTGAAAACTTGTTGAGACCTTGAGCATTTCTTGAACAACAAAAAACAGACAAACCCAACATATGGTATGCATATATTATGTTTAGTTAAATAAGTACCTTTGCAAGATGAGGTCTTGAGAAGTCTTTCAACAATCATACGATCAACCAGATTGTCATCAACGGCTAGCACATGTGGAGACAATTCATCTTCTGCCTCTTTCTCCATTTCCCTCTCACCATCATTCTTTGAAGAAGACAAACAAATAGTAGCCGCCATTTCTTTTTCCTCACCAGAAGAAATATGCAACAATTGAAGATGGGACAGAAATCTTCAGTAGGCGGGGAGGGATGGTATTTAAATATAGAAGATGGGAAAGAAATCAAGGAAGTGGAGAAAATCAAAGCAAAGGTTTGATTTTTTGTCTTTTGTGAAGATCTTTTTAGAATTTTTTTTCTTGATTCGATGCATTTCAGCCTCAATCCTCCCATTATCCTCCCCTCCACACTTGATACATAAAAAAAAAGGCTAAAAATAAGAAAGGATCTCCCGCATTTGGATTTAATGTAACGTTTCTAAAAGTAGTGAACAGAATATTGTTTACTGTGCTTAAGCGCGGCAACAATTTTGTAAATACTAGATTTTTCACACCGCAAAGGAGTCGATCTAGTAATTATTCAGACACAAAATAATAGTTATTCCCTAATTCAAAAATGAATTTTAACACTATTCTTTAATATAATGTTGAACTTAAAATAACATGACTTTCATTTTGGGACGGAGGAAGTACATATTTCCTTATTCCGCTGTCCAAATCAAATATCCAGTTTCCGTTTATTTCATATTTCATACTAGTATTTTCTTTTATTTAAATATGCAACTTTGTCATTGCAGATCTTTTCATTACTACGGTAAAAGAATGTGATAATTTAATTTAATTTTTCTGGAATTCATAATTTATATGCTCAAATGTTTTATAACTTACTTAGTTAAGACGGGGAAATGTAGTATTAGTTAAGATATAAAAGGGAAAATACTAAAAAGAGATGATAAAATGAGGAGGTTCAGCATTACACCATCTACGCGCTTTAAGCTCTCTTTTATTTTAGGACCATTCTTGGTGTACACAAGATATACACAAAATGTGTACATTGTTTGTGTACATTAAGAATTTTCCTTTATTTTATTTGTTGGGCGTCCGTTCTAAAATACTTCGTACTACGTATTTGTTATCGGTATGTGTTTTGAGTCGGGTACCTTACTAAGTTACTATTGAAAAAAGAGGGAGAAAATCGAATCTGCATGCAAATAAGAGAAGATTTTGAAAGAAATATCCACAAACCATAAGTAACTATATCAGCTAGAATAATGTACATTTCGATCGTTTGATCCTGTGATTTTTATGCATATACTATACAGATATACTACACTTTTGGGGAGATCCAAAATTTATAATAATCAAGACCAATTTTAATTTCTTCATCACGATACTGGTGATAGTACTATGAACTTTTTTTATTTGAACATAATGATATATACATCTATTTTCAATGCAATATAATCGATATTTAAAAATAATCAGTTTATGGATGTTTAACTCGAATTTGTTTCACTCTTAGCCAAAATCAAATCAGATTTTAGCAATATTAGAATACACATATATAAGACTTTTACCATACAAAATCAAATGAGACCAAGTCAATTTGATCTTAAATTTCGACTATTGTCTTAGCTTTTGACAGAAGGGTTTATTGAATTGTTTCAGGTTTCATGCCATGCCAAAAACGATAAACCCTTTAAGAGGTAACATCATACCCAGGCCTAACAATAATAATGAAACATGTTTGGCCAATTTACACACATGTCAACGCGTATACAATACGTAAATCGAAATAAGTAGAATATTGTATTCAAAATGTTTTTACTTGGATTGAAATTTGTTGGTCTGGTCTATATTGTTTAAGTCTAGTCTGATGGAGTCTAGTCTAGTCTAAATTGATTTGGTCTGGTTTGGTCTGATCTGTTTAAGTTTGATCTTGTTTGTTTAACTCTGATCTCATTTGGTCGGATTTGTTTAAGTCTGGTTTGATCTGGTCTGTGACTGAAAACAGTTCAAGTAAATACATCCTTACTTATGGATAAAAATATTATAAAACTTTCCTTTTGTTAAGTCTTAAGGGTGTGTTTGGGAGTTAATTTTTGGGAGGGAGGAGGAGACATGTGAGGATTGATGACCCTCCTATTTGTGTTTGAGAATTTAAGAAATGTGGATGAGTGTTTTCGGAAGGTTTTTGTGATCCTCCAAAACTCTCACAAATCCCCCGTTGTTAAGTTCCTCCCAAGTCCCAAATGGTGAATTTTGAAGGATAACTAACTAAATGATGATTTAAGCTCAATCTAAAACTCGTTAAAAAAAGCTCAATTTAAAATGAATATCAGCTCATAAGTAATTGTATGTATAATCCCTTCTAAGACTCTCTTTTTCTAAATTTGCTACTCGCAAATAAGAAAAAGAGTTTCATCACCTTCCCCTTCCCCCTTCCCCTCCAACAACTTACCTTCAAATCTTCCACTCTTTCCCCCAAACTTTATAAAACCAAGACTAGTAAACAGTAATGTTTACAGAAAAAACAATAACAACAATAATAACAACCTCAATCGTCCCCAAGACCACTGTTGCTATGGTTTGTTGCCAGCACAGCCATGGCAACAAAGAGTTCTGCCTTCGGTATTTGTCATTTTGTGCCGACATAATATTATATTTGAAATGTCTTTAATTGAATTGATTTCAATCTCAAATCAAATCAATAATATTATGTTCAGATGGAAATGTGGAATGAATCCGCTGGATCAATAAAAGTATGTTGTTCTCCTTCATTCTTCCTCTATGTTGTTTACGGAACCGGACGTGAGAGTTTCTTCTCATCCAGCTCCTCGCGAATTACGAATAACGGATTTACAAAATGAGCTTTTAACTAAAATTGACTAATCATAGTGAAGATATCTAAATCTTAAATCTAAAGATAGATAATAAAAATCTAAAGATAGATAATAAGATAGATACTAAAAATCTAAAGATACATAGGAAAAATCTAAACATAGATAATAATAATAATATGGACTGAGAAGTCAAAATAATATTTAGGGATTGAGTGATATTTTTTTTCAATCTATTTGAAATGAAATGAATTATTCTACACTTTTTTCATGATTCTGAGTCTAACTAATCCTTATTTTTGACTATTTTCTAAATTGACTTTATATTGCTTTTTGATTATTTTGCAAAAAGTCTTCGCGGGCCAATATTGACTCTGTCAATTTAGATTTCATTTCTAGAACGAGCCTGTTACATCTTCTAGTTAATATCTAGAAATAAAATAATTTAACATTGATTTATTCCGCCATCCCAACTAGTGAATATTTAAGATTTTTTTTATTTAATCATAAATTGAATCTTTTTTATTCATAAGTTCCTTCGTCCCCATCACTTCTTACTTAATGGTTAGGTCCTAATTTTACAATGGAGCTCAAATAGTAATATATGAATACTTTGAGTCTTGAGCCATTTTTCTTAGTCTTTATTGGCTTTAAGCTCTTTACTTTAAATTCTATTTTATTTTTTATTTTATCTATTCTATAATTTAATATATAATTTTGTATTTATATGCATATATTTCTATAATAAGAGCATATTGTTTTTTATTATCACCTGGAACCAGCCCTACCTGGTTTCGATACTGATTTCCCCATCAAAGGAACCAAAACCAGACCGGTTAACCCGTAGTATATAACAATACTTCTCTTGGACAACCATGAATACAATCACAAAAAGTCATCTTAATTTGAGTTAAGAATAAAAAACAATAATCATTTTCATTTTTTTGATTTATCAATTTTTATTCTGACATACCTAATTTGGAATTTGGGAGATCTATTTTAGCCAACACTAGTATGTGTCAACCATTGTAATCAACTAATTAAGGGCCTGTAATACCAGCAGGATTGGATAATCATTTCATAAGTCTACATGAATTTGGTTGACGAACGTGGGGTCCAAAACACTAATCAGCAAGCAGAACCGATTCAATACCCATAGACCATAGTGATTGAGATTTAAAAAATAAAACACACAGCAAGTACAATACGATTGTAAACAACACACGACTCTATATAACAAAATATTTTCCACAGATTCATTCTAATTCAAATGGCTCTTCAAAAATAATGTATACTGTATATACTCCGTATATAATATTTTAATAAACAGCGGAGGAATACAGAACATGTCATCACTTGATGGATGCACGAGAGAGGGTAGATGTGCACGGCCCCGCAGACGTCATGAAAGGGATGCCCTTGAAAGTCGCCACCCCCATTTTCATCTGTAAACAAGTTCTGCATTCATTCACTCAAAACATGTTAGTCCCGTTTGATAATGGTCAAGCAGAGTATAATGTTAGATTATGAGCTAGATTTCTGCCCAAATTTTTAAATTGGTTAAATATGGGGGGGGGGGGAGTGAGCTGAAGTCCGAAATGGCAATTTTTGACAATTCAATATATTCCAAGAAATTGCTTCAAATAGGAGTAAAAAGCAACTAGTTTTCATAAATAGGAGTCTTCTTTTTATCCTTAAAAATATGAGTCCTTCAGTCCTTATATGTAGTACAAGATTCAAATGAATGATACATACCACAGCTATTTTATCAAACTGCTTCTTTTTAGGGTTCAATACATCCTCTGGTTTACCATCGTGTCTGCACCAAAAGTAATTTGAAATTTAAACACATTTAAAGATTATCCACTCATAGAGATATGCACACTGAAGTTATCATTCAGTGTGCATATAGAGTGCAAATGCAGAACACTAGAATAGTACTGAAGAAATAGGAATGTAGTATTCTGGGTCCTGGATAATGCTAGGGGATGGGAAGGGAATGATGGGAAGGGAATGATGTGAAATTTATTTTCTTATGTTTGGTTTTAACTTGAAAGTGCAAAAGTAAATAAATACGGAGAATAATTGTTTTTTTCTTTACTTGTATTTAATTTAACGATTTGAACAAATATCTAAAATAAATATATTGAGTTTCAGCCTGTATTTAATTTTCCGGCAATCCCTTCCAGTTTTCCTTGTATTTTCCTTCTTACTTTCTTTCCTTGGTATTCAGCATGTATGACTATGCAGATCATTTGTTTGCCCAGTGCAGTGAGATAACAAAACAAGATTGCCCAACGAGAATAACCTCAAGCAGAGCTGTGCAGACCAAAAAATGCAAGGGCTAAAAACATACCCTGAAAAGGAGACAAATTCCCCAACTTTTGCCCCTTCTGGTGCTATTAGAGGCTCAACCACTGTGTGATCGTCATTAGATGCACATAGTACCTGGAAGAAATATGCATATATATAATGTGATATTGTAATATAACGGGCCGCTCGGCATTCTGTGGGTTAACTTAACATCAACTAAATTCAAATGCTGGAGAAA